TGTAGTACAAATTAGATATTATTACTTAAATTAGTAAATTCCTAAATTCTTGTTAATCTGTAATACTAGAACACAAATTAGAGTACAAGCCAGAGTATGAGTTAATATCTCAGTTAAAGTACAAGTTAAATTAACAGTTAAGATACCAGTTAGGATATTAACATAGTTACTAGTGAAGTTTACAACTACATTACAAGTTAACTTAGTAGTTAAAATCCTAATGTATATAAAGACTAAGAATTTCCTCAACTTAGTCTTTAGTTTCTAGTCAGTTTTTTAGTTTTAAATAATTAGGATTTATTAATTAATATTTTCAATATTTATTATTTTATTAATTCAATTGCAAGGTAATTTTTACAAGTATTTATCTTGGAGTTACAAATTATAAAATTAAATTTATCGATTTCAAATAAGTTACAAATTATCAAAATTCAAAATTATAAAATTGTAAACTAAAAAGGGGCAAAGTAATTTCAGTCCTTTTTTTATATCTAAATCTAATGATCTTCATTACTATTCCATTGCTGTATCTAATGTGTCTTATTGTGTTTTATTGTACCTTACTGTATACTACTACCATTGATTACTATTTCTTTATATTATTTACTAAATATATCTAATACTAATTAATACTATAAGTTAATAATTATTGTTAAATAATATTAAGTGATAATAATTAATATTATGAATTGATAGATATATTTGTGTAACTAAATATTATGTGAACACATGATCTTGTATTACTATTTCGCGACTAATTAATTGTGTTGCAGACTATAAATATTAGTTGAAAAATTATTAAAATATTATTATTTGTTATATGAGTTAATATTTACTAATTAAATTTTAAATACTATTATTTTCTAAAATTATTATTAATTATCTGCAGGTGTTCTAGTATTATATACTATACTTTTTTATAATAATTTCATTCTGTAACAGTTCCCTCTCACTTAAATAAAATATTCTCGTTTTGATATATAGTTATTTTCTAACTTTGTATATTCACATTCTTAATTCTTCGTGCTTTAGTAATTCTTTCTAAATTATCAAATTCAGTATCTTCTATCTTATCCATGTGTATTCTTGTTACTGCAGTGGTTTTTATTCCTTTCTTCAGGTATTTATTTTCAATTTGATTTCTCAATGTATATAATTCTTCCATATAACATACAAATATATTACTGTTTGCTGTTTCGGTCATTATTTCAGTGTTACCCTTTTTTCCTCCATATATGATAAATCCTATTCTATTAGGTCTAGAAGATAATAATTCTTTCATTTCATTTATTACACTATTTTCTAATCTTTTTGTCATTTTACATTATGCTATCCATTATAATGTTTGGTTATATATTACTATATCTCCAAATAAATCTACTTCCTCATCTCCTATAATTTTTTTTAGTTTTATCTTTTCTTCATTTTCTTCTAAAAGATGAGCTTTTTTCATTATTGTTATCATATTTTGAGCTTTCAATATTTGTATTGTCTTTTCTTCTGAGCTGTCTCCTTTAATTCTATTATTCTGAATTTTAAATATTTCTTTTATCCAGGTTTTGATTATTTTTATTGCATTTAAGTCAGTTATCTCCTCTTCTATTTTTCTCTTCTTTTTTGATAATATCTTATCTATAATATTCTCTAATTCAGAAATATATTTCCTTTTCATTAATAATATCAACTATAAAGTTATTAATTTTTTCTTTTGAAATAAGAGTTTCTTTAGTGATTATTTTTATATTCGGGAATATTTTAAAAGTATTTTCTTGATATGTTTCTGCCAATGTTTGAAAATATTTTATGTCTTCCTCTTCAGATCTTTCTTTGAATCTCAGTCTTTTTATAGTTTTTTCAATTGAGGTGTTTCACAAAATTACTAATGCTTACCTTAATATCCTTCCTATTGTTTATAATTTTTGTAAATTTCCTTTTTATCCTCTTCTTCAAAATATCATTCTTTTTTCATTGTTTCCATGAAGAATTTTGTTGACATTAAGTTTTGGTTTATCAATATTACATCTGGTTTTTTTTCATATGTTGTTACCTCTGCTTTTATTTTTATATTTATTAATTATTTATTTATATATTTTATTATCATATTTATTCATATCTGTA